CCAGAAATCGTTTGATTGTATTCATCATTTAGAATTAGTAAGATTGCTCCAGGAACGTTCGATAGATGAGAATGACCTTAAAATCATAAAGAACCTTTATATGAATCAAGTGGCATTTGTGAGAGTAGGACTGGAATTTACATCATATTTCTCAATTGAAAAAGGTGTACGACAGAGTTGTATTCTGTCACCTCTTCTTTTTAATCTTAACTCTGAAACGATTCTCGATAGAGCCTTAAGTGACACTGAAGATGGAATCAAAATCAACGGACAGACTATTAGTAATATTCGCTATGCTAATGATACTGTCATAATAGCTGATAGCCAAGAAGAGCTACAACGACTAATAGATAAAATAAACACTGAAGGAGAAGGACTGGGCTTGAATATTAATATAGACAAGACAAAGGTAATGGTGGTTAGTAGAACACGAAATATGCTATAAAGTATAAGAGTTAACAATAATAACATCCAAAGATCCCCAAGTTCTGATATCTCGGTAGTTAGATAACTGAAGATTTAGATCCAGACATAGAGATACGTAGCAGGATTAAGCAAGCCAGAACAGCATTTACTAATATGAGAACCTTGCTAAGTAACATCAGCCTTAACTTAACGCTTCGATATCGCTTTGTAAAATTCTGCTGTACGGTGTAGAAACCTGGACCATAAAGGCCAATGTGATGAACCGATTGGAGGCCTTTGAAATGTGGGTATTTAGAAGACTACTTAAAATTCTCTGGACAGATCACACAACAAATGTCGAAGTATTAAATCGAATGGGCAGAGAACGAGAATTGCTTCCAATAATAAATAAAAGAAAAACTGCTTATCTGGGTCATATATTTCGAAATTCCAAGTACCAATTCTTAAAGCTTATTATGGAAGGGCAGATAGAAGAAAAACGAAGCATCGGAAGAAAGAAATACTCATGACTTAAAAAGATAAGGGATTGGACAAACCTCGATGCCCATGCACTCTTTAGAGCCACACAAGGTCCAGAGGAGTATGCCATAATTGTCGCCAACATCTACTAATTGGGTAGGGCACCATAAGAAGAAGAATGGCCACTGTGGATTGATGTTGTCCACCATTTTCATTTGCATTTGTTTACAAAAACTAAATGTTTTATGAAGGAACTAGTAAATTTATGTCATATTTATTAACAATTTAAATGAGTTTCTTCAAAAAAAAAATGTGGCCAGTATGGACCGCCAAACAACATACTTATGCTGACACTCTATGTGTTAAAAAACTATATTCAATACCATAAAAATTAGTTTGCAGACTTCTAATTTGTATATGTTTTCTGTAATTACAGCGCCATCTATCGCGAATCGAAATAAAAATTCTGATAAAACTTATTTACTTTTCCACGTAGAATCCTAATCTGCGATAAAAAATGTTCTTCATTTAAGATTTTAAAGTTACCTTTCTCCCCGCTCTAAGGGGCGTGGCTGGAGGTCGTATTTGGTGTCATTCGATATATTTTTGAAAAATAATAAACCCTTGTTTTTCAATTTTCGATCCGATGTTTAATTCGCCAAATATTCGACCGTCTTGCTTTTTTTTATCACAACCTGTATATTAGGGTGAAGCGAAAAAATCGATATATTTTTTTGACATGTAATACCTGCGAAAAGTTAACCCTACCTATAGTGTACTTGCTGCTAAAATTTCAGTAGAAAATAAAAATTGCCTCAGGGCTCTACCGCGTATCAAAAAACAAAAAAGTCAAGAAAAATCGATTTTATATACTTTTTATAAATAAAAGAAGCTGCTTTTGTCGATGTTAATTCTTTTCTATTATTTTAGTTAAAAATAATGTTCTTAGAGCTCTATCTGTCACCCAAGTAAATATTTTGAGCAATATTTTTGGAAATAAAACAGATCACAAACCTCATCAAATAACGTTCAATGTTCGTCTTACAGTTAATTTTTATTAAATAAAGCTACGCCACTGGTAAAGGCTTCTTGTGAAATAATCTTTTCCTGTAAAACGTTTTTTGACCTATTTCGTGCTAGATCGGTTCGACAAAGTAAGTAAGACGAAGTTAGTTCAGTCTTCAGTCCCACTGAGATAGCCGTAGAGATAAGATCGTTATTGTAATAATTAATCGGTACGTAATGAGTTTGCCAGTGAAAGACACTAGGGGCACTACTAATTGTCCTATATTTGGTGCACCTGCGAATATACCTTCTAATGTTTTGCCAACTATAGAAGATGTTATGAAGCGATGTCTACTTATTAGAAATGAACTAAAAGATATGGATTCAGGCAAGGATCCTAATGTTCTAGTTATTTCTCAATTAGTTACCAGTGAAATCGAAGCCATCTGGGAAAAAGCCTCAGTTCCGACTGTACTAAGCAATGGTAGTATTCGATTGATTTGTGATATGCTGAGTTAGTATCAAACTCTCATCAGATATCCAAAACAAAAACGTAATAAGACTTATAATTTAATAGTAAAAAAGTTCAAGCAGAAAGGATTAAACTCTGTGAGAAGAAAAGGTTGGAGATAAACTTCATTGCAAGATAAAAATCGAAGAATACATTTCGTTACTTGAAGAACCAGGTTCTAAATATCTAAATCACATTACTCCAACGTCAGGTACAGGAAAACACATTGCCACATCTATACTAAATTTTTTTGAAGAATCCGGTATTGGCACAGGTAATCTTTTAGTAGTAGGTTGTGATGGTACAGCAGTCAACACTGGGAGGAAGAATAGGGTTTTTGGAGACAGAACTGAAATTTCCTCTGCAGTGGTCAATTTGTCTGTTACACATAAATGAATTGCCCCTCCGGCATATTTTTCAATCTCTCGATGGATAAACTTCGGGACTTAGTGAATACTCTGGCAGTATAGGTAAACTAGCAAAAATTTGCCATTAATCCATTTTGTTCCTATTCATACCACTCTACCACAATTAGATGCTGCACTTATAGGGGACCTTAGAAGTGATCAAAAGTACATATACGAAATTTGTCATTCGGTTTCTAGTGGAAAGTGCTCGATAGATTTAGCAACTCGTAATCCGGGTAAATTATCACATGCACAATGGGTTACAAAGGCAAATCGTATATTGCGTGTTTACGTCGGAAGTGAAAATCTGTCTTTGGTTTTAAGATCTTTGGCTGAATTTGTGGTAAAAGTTTATGCGCCAGTGTGGTTTAATATTAAAACAAAGCCATCGTGTAGTGAAGGAGCAAGACACGTCTTTAAAATGATTCAATTGTCACGCTACCTGAGCAACGGGTTAAAAGCCGTCATTGATCCTGTTATCAAAAGAAATTAGTATTTTTGTCATCCGGAGAACCTTCTCCTAGCAATGCTTTTTGATGATCGTCCTGCCATAAGACAACTTCCCTTACTCAGAATGTTGAAGACGCGCACAAAAATGCCTACTTTGGACTCAAATGTAAGAGAATTTCTAATTCCTGATTTAAATTTCAATGCTAGTGAATATTATGAACTTATTGATTGGCAAAATTGCTCTGTTACAATTCCTCCCCTCTTATGTGCTACAACTGATGAGAATATTAGAAAATGTATTAATGGTAAAGGAATTTTTCCAACAAATTTTTTGTCATTTCCTTGTCATACTCAAGCAGTAGAAAGATGTGTGAATGTTGTAACAGAAGCTTAAAATTTTGTCCTAGGCTATGACTCCAGAGATGGATTTGTTCGGGCAAGGATTCATTCAAGAGCCATATTACCTCGATTTAACACTAAGGCGCAATACAGTGCATAATTTTTTTTAGGAATTTAAAGACAAATAGCAGTTTAACTTCCATTTAATAGTCTAGGATATAATATTTGGTTGAACTTTTTTTTAAAGAGAACCTGTTTATTTAGTAAATGATTTGTTTTCTATATTAGAGATTTTTATTGTTTTCTATATTAAAAGTTTTTATAAAATAAGGAATTTGTATTTTCTTGCCTTTTTAAATGTAGAAGACTTTTTGAAACTATAAAAGTTGGTAAAAAGCCTAATAGTCATTAATATATTTAGCTTCCGCGCTATTACATTAGAAAAAACAAAATTTATTTTTTTTTTGTTTCACCCTGTAAAACCCTGAAGATGAAATAGTAGAAAAAAATATAAAAAACATGGTACTTCTCGATGCAGTAAGCAACTTATGCACGCTATTACATTAAAAAAAATTTGTTGTTTCACCCTGTAGAACCCTGAAGATGAAATGGTAAAAAAAAATTAAAAAAACATGGTACTCCTCCTTGCAAGAAGCAACTTTTCCGCGCTATTACATTTCGAATAAAAAATAAAAAAAAATTCTTCATGTTTCACTCCACCCTACTATATATATGTAAATCAGTTATATTCGCAAAAATATTATAAAAGTCACCATTATATTTAGGTTAGATAATTGGTTAGTTTTCATCCTCGCTGGTTTTGCTTGCAATTATTTACAGTCAATATCATGAAATATTTTTTAGAACCATCTATTTGTAGGTAGGTATTTCTATTAAATATATGTTAATTACAGTTTTATTTCAAAGTTAAAGATAATTAAAGACTTATAGTATAAAATAAGCTTAATATATAGCTTACGGGACAATTAGTCAACATCGTGAATTTGTTAAAATATTTTATTGGAATATAACAGTATCAAAATTTGGATAAAATGATAATATTCATGTGTAAATTATTCATTTATTACAAAAATATTAAACAACACATACTTACCAAATGTAGGTGCATGATTGACGCTTTATATTATTTATATTCATATAATAAACATCATATGCAGTTTTCATACTTAATAACATTATTAAAATATATTGCTCCTTTTACAAAATACATATATATTACACAAGGTACCATTAGATATCTATATATTTTTATTTTCGTTTTAAATGTGCACGTGTTAAAAATGTTGTGAAACATGCATAGTACTTATTTTATGTACTTCTAATTCGTTTTTTTATATTAATGTAAAATATATTTTTAAAATCTAATAAAATTGTTTTTACAGCCCCCTACCGCACCACGTTTGGGGCAGGTCCTCATCGGGGGAGACAGCAGTGCCTCCGACAGTAGCCAACGTCCGGAGAACGCACTCGACGCTCTGCTAGACGAGCTTCAAACATTTTCTAAACCCCACCCTATTGCTCAAAACCAAGATGCCCATGCTTCTGAAGCCCCTGCTATACCTGTGAAAGGCGTTAGACCGCCCCAGATGTCAGAGATCGGCCGAAAGGGTAGCATGGATTCCGCATCTTTTCTTCCCACCCAAAATCTTTCCGTGAGCACTACAACTGGAAGCCTCAGAAGATTGCACTCGTATCCCAGTGGGTCAGATACCGACAACAGTCCTCCAATTCAACCCCTACAAAGAGAATGTAAAACTGCCGCCAAACCTCCTCTGCCAGAAAGAAATCAAGAATTATTACAACAGGTAGCTGGAAAGAGAGTACCTCCTCCTCCACCACCAAGAACCAGTTCCAAATCACCATTAGCTTCACCAACATCACCCAATTTACCTCCAAAGTCACCTGCTATGGGACTTCAACATATCCAGAATGTACAAAATATGGTAGAGAAACCTTTGTCGCAATTTGAACAAGCCACTCAAAACTTAGGTTTGCAAACTTTGCGTAGAAATATTCCAAGCAGATCAAGTATTAAAGATCCTACAAAGTCGCAGACCCTACCGAGAAACATTGGTTCTAACCTTCAGATCCCCTCCTCCGATAGTGATGCTATTTCAGCCAGTAACAGTAGCAGTTGTGAAAGCGTAAATTCTCAAGATGGATCTAAAAAAACTAGAAAAGAAGAACTGGAACAGCGGCATCAAGAATTACTTAAAAAGCAGAAAGCTTTACAGGAGCAATACGCTAGATTACAACAGCTACAACGAGGAAATAATACATTAGCTGTTGTACCACCAGCGCCAGATCAATTGCTTAAAAAAACAGGAAGTGAATCAAATTTGTTACAGAAAATGGGACTACAGCTCACTACCTCTCAAATTACCGGCTCACTCACTAATCTACCAAATACGACTAAAACATTATTGACAAATACAAATTCCAACCCCATTAATTCATCTAGTGTACCAAATAACGTAGAAGACGAAAACAATAAAAACAATACCAACACGCATATGAATAAAGTCTACGAAACCGACATACTGTGACCTACTGAGATTAAATTGCTTTTTGCATGTTAAGAATGTCACACATTTAACCTTCTCCCATATCATGGATTCACGGATTGTTATCTTTTTTATTGTTGAATGTTAGGTGTTAACTAATTTATTTATTTTTGAAATTAATCAATGTTGTTTCAGGATCCTGCTAATGTTGTCTATGTCAATTCTAACCTACCCTACGCAGTAATATTCGAAATAACTTTAAAACTGTCTCGAAAATCAAATATCTAATGACCAACTAAAAATACTTTCACTAACTTTTTTTCTGAACTATTTAAGTGTAAATTTTAACTCGTGCGACTAATTTAAGGGCTTTAAATATATTAAAGAAATTGTAATTGTTCCATATGACTCAAATATTATTACCTACCAAATAAGACGCCTTAAATAAAATATTTTTTACTTGGTAGTTGATAAAGACTCTTTTACTGTACCTATTTTTATTAATACATTATATTCATATATAAGTTATTTATCCATATTTTGACTATTTTATGTATCGATGTTTTTATTATTTTCTGAAGTTGCAATTTTAAGTTACCATTAACGATTTAATTTCTATCAAATATTTAGTAAATTATATTTTGCAGTGTTTCTATACTATTTTTATAAATATTTAATATTAATTCACTATGTCTTCCTACGCATTTCTATTTTATTTATGGTATTAACTGCACTAAAATATAAATAACCGTGATACTTATTTGTATATTACATGTTATAAATAATTGTTAATCGAAGGTTACATATTAGACTTATCTCTGAAAATAATCTGATTTTTGAAATATGAAATTTTCACTTTCGCAAAGTTGTAACTGATTTTTTACGTCTAAATAATTACAGTTCTAACAGGAAAGACAGTTAAGATTTGATTTCACGTATAGTGCGTCTCTATATCCGCTTATACGTGTATCATCATAGAAGGAGTCTTCGGAGCGCCTATTTACAAACGCTCTGAATGTGAAAACAATATTTCCTGTCGTAGTAAAAGCAACACTAAAAGGGCTTCGATATGGACGCAATAGCGACATCTGATCATAAATCCGAAAACTAATTGTCAAAACCAAATTCATATTTCTGTTTTAATCTGTGCCTTCTAAGAATTACAAGGCAAAAGAGACGTTGATAAATTTGGTTTCGACAATTAGTTTTCTGATTTATACAGTTCTATATCACTTCCGGTTGTAGCGAAAGTCGCCATCAACTTTATTATTGATAATGGCACTCGTAAGGTGGGAGGTTGTAGATATCTTTTAGATACACTAAGTATATCAAAACTTGATATTTTTAATTATCATTTAATCATATTTTTTCAAAAATTGTGATAGGCAGGCACGATTTTGAGCATTGATAATAATTTATCTCTTTACGAAACTAACATTTTAAAAATCTACACGCATAGCGAGTGGTTAAAGTTCTTTTAGGAATTCATATCCGATATCCAAATAGTGTTTGCAAATTATCTAAAAAAATTTTAAATGCCAAATTACAGTACGTCAATATTTCATCATCTTTTCCTCCTACTTTATAGATAGACTCATGCCTGTTTTACTTCAGCTTTTGGCTTCACGGATGTTGTTAAGCACCTTTTCTTGGACGTTCTATTGACCGTCTTCCCATTGAAGATATATCTCTTGCTATTCTGACAGTTGTTATCTCTTATTATTTCCCATTCTATTTTGATTCTTTTTATCCACTTATTCTACATCTCGCTCTTATTTCGTTACTTCTGACTCTATCTCCGAGTTTAATTTGTTATTGTTTGTAAGACTTTTATTACTGCTGTCTCCAACAATCTTTGTGCTTTAGTCGTATCCGCCCTTGTTTTGTCTGTGTACGTCATTATCGGTCTTATTGCTGATTTGTAAGTATATTCTAGTTTTCGTTACCATTAGGAATTTGTTTGAGGTATTTACTTCACCAGATTTTTTCTCTGTTGAAATCTCCATATTTTATATGAGCGTCCTAGCTTGGAACTGTTTCATTAAACTTTGTACGAGTAGGTCATCTTCATTCTTTGTCATTATATGGCGTCGTCGGCGTAACATATTATTTTGTATTTTCTTTTTCTAGTCAATATTGAATCACATTATATTGTATGGCTTTTCAAAATAAGGGATAATTTTGTTACTTTAGTTTAATGTTTATGGTAAATCTCTTTTTGTCAAATTTAGAATCAAATACTGACTTGAAAGAAATATAGGCCTATAAAAACTATTAAACTTTAATTGTTATTATTTATATTAGCCAGTAATTTCATTACTCGCAAACTTTAGGACGTAAGTGCTCGCACACGGAGTAGAATTCCGAGTTCGCATTTTTCAGTTTCTGACTTAAATAATTTTAGTTTTTGTCATTTTTTGTTAAAAATGCTATCTTTATTAATTATATTAACTTAATTTTAATTAATTAATTTTTAAATAATTTTATTGGTAAAAAACAACCTTTATAGGGACATTTCTCTTCACATTGATGGTTTAATGCAATATAAAATGTTTCATTAAAAAAAACTATACAATAAACATATACAAAAACTATACAAAAAACAAATATAATTAAAAACATATTTGCTATGAAACGCCACAAAACCTGAATAGGTTTATATTATTAACGCAAATTTTCAATACAGGTAGCACACATAGCATGTACGTGTTGTGAACATAAGTATTGATGACACAATGATGACAAAACTATTTCGTTTTTCTGTTCTTTTTCAATCACATAAATTACAGTGACCAATGGCCCCGGGCAGCTTCTCTGATAGTCCTTGTTCCAGTTTCCCACCACATATTTCTTGCAACCTTAGAATAATGGTTCTCGGTAAATTGAAGGAATGCTCTCCTTGATATGCATTCACAAGGGCCAATAATGGTTTCATCTTCTTCTGTTTTTATGTGTACATGACTCTGTTGTTTTAGTGGTCTTGCACATTGATAGCAACAGTAGAAAGTTTTTATGTTGTATTGAGAAACTAGTATTGTTACCGTTTTAAATCACAAAAGCTTTTATAGCAGCCACATTGAACACGTTATAAAACCTCGCTGTATCTACGCCCTCTTTTGTTTGATTATATGACAAAATGATTTTTGGTTTTCCAGATGTAGGGTCAGTGTCATCTTTATAGTGCATAGTATATATTAGAAGAACATTGCGATTTTTTTTGTATGTTAGAAGCAACTGTTATCCCATTACCAAATCCAAACATCTAGGAGCCGATGGATCAATCTTAATTTATGGTAAATTCCAAATAAAGTTTTTTTTTTATTTTTTGCAGATGGTTCCCAATAAAGTTGAATTATTTGATTTTAGGATGCCTGCAATTCTTCCTTTTTACCTAGTTCGAACATCGTCAAATTGGACACACCTCATAAGGAATTGAAGTCTCGTTTTATTCATACTAAGTCGAAAGGCTTCAATACCGCTGCCATCAGTTCTTTAAAGATCTCTAAGTTCATATAAGTTCATTGGCCTCTCTTACTCCAGCAAGGTAGAGAATGTTAATTAGCACCTTTACTTCAGAAATGTTCGAAGGTTTTGCGTTTCTCTCCTTGTTCAAATTTGATGACTCATTTTCAATTTGTATATTTGTATAGTTCTTTATCCTCTGATCTTTTTTCAATGTTGTCAACTTTACCTTGTTCATCGTCGTTATTATTACCATAATTTTTATCGTCTCTTAGGACTTCCTCCATCAAATTTACCAATTTAGCCTGCTCTTTTTCGTAATGCATATCTACAATAGTTTGCGACATAAATAATAAAAAAAACTAGCAAAAGCACAAAGAGACTATATGCCACTCACTGTTTTAGGTACTAACTGCCCACTTGCCACCTATCCACTAAATAAAAAGACACACGGTCGGATCGATTCGTAGCCCCTCTCCTAAACATATGCTCTAATCCGTTTTAAGCCTTTCTCCTGCACCGTGCGTGATTTCTACTGGAAGGTTAAAATAACTTTAGCTATAACAAAAAATTATTGCGGAAGCAAAAAGAGATTTTACGACCCATGCAAGTATTATCTGAAACATTCCTTGACTTGGATGGCGCATAAATTAGTCATCTTTGTGCTTTGTAATTGATTTTATTGATTTTTATAAAACCCTATTTAAAGTGAATTTTCAAAGATTGTTTTTAAAACAATGTGATTCTGATTAAAATTCTTTAAAAACGTTACTTACCCTTTATGTGTAAATGTTTTGAATGTATTATTATATATAAATAGGTAAGGTATTACCATCCAATTTATTATCCCTGCCTAAAAAAGATGATTTTCTCAAAAATTGTAAATTTTTCTTATACCTATAGTGCCTAAATTTATCGAAACTCTTTCTCAGAATGTAATATGAAAGAATATAGAATGTATTCTATTAAAAATTACAAATTAACTGCTTTGCGAAAATGAAATTTTTCTTAAAAGAAAAGACAGTTAAGTTAATTTTGGTTTCGTAAACCAAGAAATCTTCGGATCTCTACTTGTGGAAATTTTTCTCATTTAAAATATGATTATTATTAAAGATAATTTTTATATGTTGCCTACGAGAAACACCCCGTACAGACCTCTGTTTTTCAACGTTTTTAATACAAGGTGGGCAAAAGTAATCTCCCGATGTTGTTGTGATTTGTTTTTAAAGAAAAACTTTAGTTCTACCTGTGAAATTTGTTTAGTTGATCCATTAGAATTTATTTCATCTTCCACTATATGAGCATTTGTTTGTTTGTGTAGGCGACAGGTTCTCACATCCCTGGCAAATATTCTTCTTAAGGGATTCATGGATCTGAGGTTTGTTAATGTAAACCCGCAATTTCAAAAACCCCTTAAAATAGTCTAGAACGGTTAAAATGGTTGATCTGGCCGGCCAGTGCAAATCACCAAAACGAGAGATCAAGTGACCCGGAAATACATCCTTCAGAATATCGGTTGTGGCGCGAGTAGTGTATGCTGATGTACCATCCTGTTAGAACCACCTGTTCTTCAGTCTCAA